AAAAAGTTTCTGGCAACAATTCATCAGGACAAAGAGCTAGCCTTTGACTATCCCAGACTTATCCAGCCAGTTCATGGTGGATTTACTGGTCATTTTGTGACATCATCATGTCATCCCATCCTCCTCTACTTTGACTTCATTCCTTGTGAACAACTGATGATGATCTACTTTGTTTAGCATCTCCAAACCATTACACTTCTAGTTCTGCGCTTTGCAGTCAATGTTGGGCTCTGTCACGTTTTATTTGGTTTTTGCCAAATTGCAGAATTTCTGATCTTTGTCTCTGATCTCTCTGACAGAGAAAACCGTCTCTGTTGACATTTTAGAGTTCATGGAGACTTCTGCTAGCATCTCAGAGTTTGCTCTCAGGGTGAACGTCCTCTGACTTCTACGCCTGTTCATGTTGACGGTTGTTTTGAGTGTCCTTCCCTTGTAAACCGTTTCTGCTCTTCTTATCTTACCTCGGTGTTCACTCTCAGTTTAGCAGTCGGGAGCACAGCAAACTAAATACCTGAGGTGCAAACAGAGCTGACCGCCTCCTAAATGACGAGCTGCCACGTTCTCATCGTTCATGCACAGCTTGTTCTACACGTACATGTGGCGTTTTAGCCATTTCAAGTGGGGAGAAAGTTTTAGGGTGCCTTAACTTATTCCTGACTAAAAAAATAAATAAATGTTTAAATTACATTGTGCAGAAAAATGTTATCAGCATTTTGATATTAAACATCTACATGTTCAACTATATCAATTGTGTTGGCCTAATTTTAAATTTTTTTTCACTTCTTTCTCTCAAATAAATCTTCTCTCTCTTTTTTTTTTAACAGTTCAAACGTAACTAACCAGAAATAACAGCTGAAGTGCGGACTAGTTTTCTTCATGGTATTGTAACAGCACTGCTTGTTCCTTCACCCAGCTCTATTTTAGTCAGACTCTGCACCACATCCATCCACTATTTGGGACAAAATGCTCCGGTTCTGGATCCAAAGGAGCTATTTAAAGGTTCCAAGGGAGAACAAAAGCAGTCGCTATAGCGGATCCCGTGGCCAAACGCCGTCAGCGTCGAATAAAGCAGACTGGCTCCTTCCTTTGTTGCTGGCCGGTTTTCGTGCCGGTTTTGCAGACCGTTTTTAAGTGAAGACACATTAGATGTGCAAGTTGGTATTTATAGCAGCTTCTTAGAACAGAAACTTTCTGTAAGGGAGAAGGGTCATGGTGTGCGCTCGCCTCTGTGTACATGTGGTTTGTAACCAGATCACAGAGGACAGAAGGACAAAATTAAGACGACTCTGTCACCATGCTATTCATCACAATCACACCCAATGGAAACTAGCCTCTATTTCTGCAGATAATACATGGAATGTGGTAATAGTGAGGAGGAAATGTGTCACTAGGAGCAAAAAGGTGTTGTGGGGCATAAATTTATGCTGTAAAGTGGAGAATTCAATCTAATGCTGGTGAATGTGGTGTTGATGGATGTGAGGCAGTCGTAAAACTGCTTGTGGTATGGAGTTTTAAAGGCTTAAAGGGTATTAAAGAAGGCTAAAATAGTACTATGAGGTCCTTGAAATGGTCTAAGTTGGCACTGAGAAATGTCGAGAGGCTCTTAAAGAGGTTTTCTCTGCCAGGTTGAAATACTTCTACTAAATTCAAAAGTCAAAACTAATGTGGGGCTAAGAGCTGGAAGTTAATAGGTTTCTAAAGTTGATTTTCAAGAAAACGAGGAAGTTTGGAGGCTCATTGCAAAGTGGAGTTTGCTGTCGACTGACATGATTCCTGCTCTGTTGAGAATCAGAAAATGTTTTTCTTTACTAAGAATATGCTTCTAGATAATTTACTCTGAACTTTTTTAATGGCCAGCAGATTTTGTAATTAATAATCACAACCACAAATGATGTCCAAGCGTGACGACTGACGCACATTTTCACAAATTGCTGACACTTAATTAGCCAAAACCTACAAAAATAGAAACTAATCTGTACTTACTACCATGAATAATCTCATCTGATCCAGCCGGCTATCTGAAATATTTGAGTGACGGGCTGTGTGTTTTATTACAACATTGTGTTGACTCATGTTTTTCTGAACCAAGTGATTGTTATGGTAAGCGCAGACACTGACTCACTGATCTGCTGTATGAGGACAAACGATGAACACAACAGCTTTGCACACTCTAAATCCAGAGAAACTCCTCTTTCATCTGAACACGCACTAGGAAAAAATATAAAACAAACTTGTTCAATCAGCTCAATTAAATCACCTTTAAAAATTGTTGTGTTGTATTAATGGTCACGGATCACAACTTAAAACTGGGTACAAGTCTGTGATGGTAGGTGTGCACTGTGAGAATTTAAGTTTGTGCTTTGATCAAACAGATCAAAATGAAACTGGCCGTAATAGTGTTCATTTTTTAAGTTTATAATTGCTCTTTAGTAATTCTTTATGATCTACATTACACTCAGTATGCTTTAAAGGACTGTGGTTGGCAAAGTTATTAGAGATAATAGAGGTAATCTTTGGAAAATAATGGCTGAGATTTTGTTATTCAGAAGACATTACAAGTAATAATCAGTTTATTATCACAGCGTCTAAATATGTTGAACTGTAATTCACATTTTATGGTTTTCATAAAATTTGTTACAATAAACACCAGGTGCTGAAGGATGTTGTTCAATTTTGAATGATCACCGTTATTATGATGACAATTATTACGATTATTGCAATTTTATTTGTATTTTTTAGCACTTTACTCACATCTACTGATCTGTTTTTTACTGATATCGATGAAAGTTTAATGCCTCATGTTCCCAATTGGATGTCTTGTATACAAGGAAAGGTAAATCAGTCAATAAATTAAATGAATAAAATTCAGCTTGCTCAGATTTAGACTTTGATTATTTCTGATGGTTTAAATATTCCCTCTGATCTTGCCAAATGCAAAGAGTCAGAGCTCCTGTCTTTGATGGACGTTAAAAAGGTTTCTGATAGCGACGGTACCAAACACAGTTTTCATTTGTAATATGTATTGTTGTAATTTTATCATGGCAAACATTTAAAGAGATACAACCAGTAAATTGTTTTATCCCTTATTGAGGTCATGCAATGGTATTTCCAAGTTAGTTATATTTTACAGCATTTATTTCTTTTGTAGATTGTCCGAGGATTAAAATGTCAACTTTTAAAAAGACTTTTTCAAAGGTAAATAGGTCAATTGTCTTATAATTTTGATTAAACGTGGTTGTAAAGCAGGTACAAGTAATGTATATATTAGAGATATATAATATATCTAATATGCAGAAAAGATGGCCATTTTTTGTTTAATAATGCATTTAAAATTTGATTTGATATGTTTATCTAAGTTGGAGGATTGTAGCTAATGAATCCAAAATTCAATATTTATATTCCTCCTCCTCCCACTCAGTGTCAGGACTGATTCAGTTTTCCTCCGTGTTTCTACCCACGCCCGTTGTTATGAAAGATTTCTCTGCAGGGCTTCTACAAGCTGTGATTGTAGCAAATAGAAGAAGCACACTTATCTCTTATCGGATTCATGCTCCTCAATGCGCTCTGTGGAACACCTACTCACATTATGATTCGCATTTCAGCTTCTGCTCCATATTTTGCTCAGGTAGGGAGCCACTCCTTTAAGTGCAACAAAAATACCACATGGCGCAAGTATGTACAGGCTGAGACTTCAAAGATAAGCCTGAAACTTTATCGTTGGGTCAATCGGTTCCTCCGAACAGAACAATTCAAGCAGTTTCGATGTGTTCAAATGTCCAGAATGTTATGAAACTGCACAAAAAGATCTTCAAGTCGGAGTCCAGACCTCAAGATCAATGTGTGTGTTTAAAATAAAGGAAGGTTTGATTTGTCAGAAGCTGGCGCTTGGATTCAGGCTTGACTTCACACCTGAATTTAGCACATTCTACTTGGAACCACAAAACCATTGGGATTCAGGAATTGTTAAGGTATCACTGGCAAGCTGACTCTAAAAATAGAGGAGCACTCTGGCTAATGTGCAATACTGCTGTATGTGTAGCTCTAGTTTAATGAGACACAAACCAGCAGAAGGGCTGTTAAATAGTCAGAACCAGCCACTTTTCCCTCATTTTTTGTCCTGGGATACCAAACTGATTCCTGCCCTCTAACTTTCCTGTCTGGAATTCCAATTTCAAGGAGTTTCCTTGTCTAATTTAGAGTTCGAATCGCTGTAATAAATAGTTCTTAAAAATTGCACTATGAATGGAAACCAGCCAAACCGATGTACAGCCACTGTGACTCATTCACCTGTCGAATAAGAAAGATGTACTGGGACTGTAAATGACTCTTCAAATGACGGATGACGGTAGCTCAGTGGTTCGAGTAATCCTCCTGAAATCTAAAATCTATTATTTGATTCCAGCTTCCTGCTGCCACATGTCAATGTGCCCCTGGGCAAGGCACGTAACCCCAAGTAGCTTACCAATCTGGGTATGTGTAAATATGAGTGCGACTGAATGAATGCGGATCTGGTGTAGAGCGTGTTGAGTGGTCAGTATAAATATGAAAGGGCTATTTAAATTCACTCCGTTTATCCTCTTCAACATACCTGGCACTTAAATGATACAGCTTTGGTTTAAGTATTTGGAATCGGGCCTGGCAGTAAATCAATTTGGAGGTAGATGTAAAAAGAAAAAAAAACAAAAACTGACAGCCTCGTTGGTAGCTACATCCAACACGGAGCTCATTCTCGATTCCAGGCAGATGGGTTAATTACCCAATAAGGAGCATGTGTGCAGAAAGAAAGGCGACAAACGGGCTGAAGAGCACACCTGAGAAAATTTATCAAAAACAACAAAAAATAAATAAATAAACATTTGATAGAGTATACTGCTCTTTTGTTGAGGGAAAAATCTTGGGAATTTTTGGACATTTCCCGAGGTCAACTTTTCCATTAATAAAACAAGCTACAAAATGTGTTCAGAAAATATGTGAAATATTTTTATTTTCATTGTCTCCAGGAAGTGGGAGCGGTGGAGTGGGCGGGGCGTTGCCGGGTCTAATTGGCGCCACCGGTCCCTCGGTGATGATGAAACCATTCCTGCCGTTTCCCATGGAGACGACGTCGCCAGTCGGACTCTTCCCAAACTTCAACACGGTGCACAAACGCAGATTTTGTTTTTGCAGCTGTCCAGTCTGACTGAGATAAAAGGAGCTGTCATCAGAGAATCCTCTGCAGCTGTTGACCTCTGACCTCTGTTTGTTTCGGAGCAGATGGATCCGGTGCAGAAGGCTGTCATCAATCACACCTTTGGTGTCACCATGGTGCCCAAGAAGAAACAGGTCATCTCTTGCAGCGTTTGCCAACTGAGGTTCAACTCTGACGTGAGTTTGTTCGATGTGTGACGGTCGCCTGCAGGTTTGCTTTGCAGAAGTAAAAAAAAAAAAAAAGCTGTTGTTTTATTTTTTACTTTTCAAAAAGTTACTGAAGTAAATGTAACCAGTTGCTACTTATCTCTGCATTGAACAAGTGTATCCTAACCCTAACCCTAACCCTAAGGACAACTGTGTGATTTTAGAGTCTTTTGTTTCACAAACAGTGAGATAAAGCACTGGGGAGCTAATCAACAATTTGTGCAACTTAATCTTATTTCCAGATTAAAGTTAGGAGTTTGACATAAGGATTTTATGTGACCTTTCCTGTTTTCACAGGAAACTCAGGAGATGGTCTTAAGATCCCTCCCCATTCCTCTGAGACACTCTTCATGTATCTCTGTAAATGGGGATTAAGAATACTGAGAGGAGCCATATTCTGCTGTCATGACATACCAACAGTTTTAGCAAATATGCAAAGAATGCAGTTTTATAAAAGTTACCTACTGCAGCTTTAAAGAGATGATCATCATTGTGGAAATTGAAATAGTTTTTGTAATTCTAACTGGCTGAAACAAGACAAGTTTGGTCTGATTTAACTTCTGACAGCAAGACAAAAAAAAAACTGCATCTGTGTATGTAAACTTCTGGTTTCGACTGTGTACTTGGACATTTATTTTAAAACGCGCTTGAGAAATGGAAGGTACCGCAGAAGAAGCGCTCCTCTGGGTTTGTTTCAAGACACTTCCTGTGTGTATAATCAGGTGTAAGCGGCACTCCTCTGCACTGTATTAACGCAGCACTGTGTAAATGACACTGAGCGATTTCATGACTGCTGAGAGCTTAATGAGCTGCCTCATTACCGACACGTCTGTCAAACATGACTAATCCACGAGCCGGTAAAATTATTCATGAGCGAACATGAATAGAGGAGTTACTGCTGATAAGGAAGGAGTAAACAAGGAGCATTAACTCATTCTAGCGAGCTGAGTAACAAGCTGGATCGGCCATGGAGGCATCGAGAGCCGCGTTGTAGTGAGGAACAAATCACGCCACCTGCAGACAGGAAAAACTCTACTAAAACAACCGACACTTTCTGAAAAGTGGTCACCGTTTCCTGTCACTTTTAGATCACATAAAGTAGTGCATTATTATGAAGAGTAAGATTAATGGTTTACCCAATTTTCACTTCAGCAAACTTTGAAAATGTGACGTGCGCCCTTATCTTTTACCTCTCAAATAAAGTTTACTGCAGCCAAACGACAAGGAGCACAACGGACACGGCTGAGAGAAAGTTGTGAACCAAAGGAGTTTTCATGTTTCAGGAATGTTTATGATTGTTGCCATGAAGTAAATAATGATGCTTATAATGCAAAGGTGCGTTAAAACTTGCATCAAAGGTCCATTAAAAGTGTAACTTTGTATTAAAAGTATCATCATTTACCGAAGGACACTTCAGGACAACAGTCGTGAACATTCATGAAGACTCATTCATGTTCATAACAGCTGTTATGTCACGTTTATGACAGTCTTATTACACCCCTTCAAACAAAGAGTTACCAAGAGCTCTAGTTAAATGGTTAGAGGGCTTTATTTGGTCCACTCGACCCCTGAAGTGAGCTACACTACATTCAGTCATTCATCCACTATTCACACACTGATAGTCGTGAGCTACATTGAAGCTACAACTGGTGTGGAGTTGACTGCCAGACAGGAACCACTGGTCCCTCTGACCACCACCAGAAGGCACAACAGACAGCAGCGAGGTTCACCGCCATTAGATGAGAACAAAAGCAAACCTTTTTAACGTTTTGTTTCTATATTTGTGCCGTAAGATGCAGAAAGCTTCTTTGGGAGCCTGTTTTTGCTGACAAAGAGCATGCGCCTTGAACAGGTTGGAGATTAGAGACTCTAAACTAGATTTGGAAACTCGTCGTTTTATATGCCTGATGCTCTGATGGCTCAGTGTTGACAGCTGCTGTTGGTAGAGCCCTACAAACCTCACCCGACGCCTCTGCTTCCAGGAGCTGGGTTTGGTTTTTGTACGCGTATTATAACAGGGATAATGCTTTGAGAGCGGCAGTATCCTCGGTAAGCCTTATTTAGTGCTGTGCCTGAAATCTTCCAGCTGCTTTGATCCCATTGCTAATGTGCTTCTCATGCTACACCTGCCCTGCAGACCCAGTTAGAGTCCCAGTTAGACAGCAAAGGCAGCTAAAATGTGGATTCATTGTACTGGCTGGGGTATGTGGTTGGGTGCCATTAATAAGAACTAAATTAATTATCCGGGTTGTCCTTGTGTTCCTGAGATTTATGGCTTGAGCTTTGCTCCTGCTGCACAATAACTTTCTCTGTGTGGAGACTTGACCCTCTGGACTGAGATCGCACATTAGCACATTTAAAATGTGCACTAAAGCAAACACAGCAAAGTAACATGGGACATTTAAAGAATTAACAGTCTTTTTTTTTCTACCTGTGTGTGTGCGCCCTCTGCTGTCTAATTAGAAAGAATGCAAAACCTCAGGGTTTGACGTAAGCAGCAGCAGAAAAGAGATGCATAATGTCAAAGGAAAAATCCTTGAAGGTCATGTGTCATCATCCAAGCTTTGGCTAAAGGACAAGTTTTTTACTTTCCAAGCAATAGTTCATTTTCATATCCAAAGATGAGACATATAAGTGTAAAATTTAAACATAAAAAAGGATCAGCACAATGCGACGCCTTATCTGGACCTTAACATCACTTCACACAATAACTGCTTGTTACAAAAGCAGTAAAAGCTGCTTGAACGTGGGCTCATGTGACAAGGATTCACCTGTTAACTTGTCCGATGAAGAGGAGGAAGTCAGGAAAAAATGTTGTCTGGGAGTGGTAGTTTGGAGACCTAGCAAACCGGCAACCTACCTGAAAATTTAAAAGCACCAAAAAAACCTGAAAGTTTTGTTAGTAAAATAAATAAAAAATACAAACAAACAGAAGAGCATTGAGTGGAAACAGCTGAAAGTCTCATTATTCTATTATATATTCACTCCACTGAAACTCTATAAATCCAGCAACAGTTCATTTTCTGACTAATTGTGTTTGGCTCTCAAATAATTCCTTTCGATCTGAGATATTAGAACATGATTTAAAATACTAATTCACAATTAGATTGCAGCTGTAGTTAAATATCCGTAATTTCTCTCTTAATTGAAGGACTTTTTGTGGTTTAAAACCATGCCGGGTGCATTCACTTTTTGTTTCCATTGGTTTTATATTTATGGGGCAAAAATGTTTCCTACACAAAGGGTGAAAGATGAAGAGAAATCTGTCCCTCTCAATTATTTTCACATTTTTGACAGAAATTTCTGGAAAGGGAAACGCTTGTGCTTGTTCTGTCTCTGGCAAGAAGCCAAACATTCATTCACCACATGACAAAATGCATTTTCCTTTCGTCAACAAAACAATCTTTTCTGTGTCGTAGCAACGATACGTCGCAATCTTTTAACAGAAAATCTGTTTTATCTGCCTGACTTTTTTTTAACCTGCTTTTCTTTAGAAACAATGGAGAAACTGCTGTTCTTCATTCAATTTTGCCCAAGCATCTCAAATCTGTAGGTTTCCTGGACTTTCAGCAAACTCGAATAAACCTAAGAAGCACAATGTTATGCTTTTAAGTCAAGAAAAAAATTGGTTAATACTAACAGTACTCTATCTCTGCTTGTCTTAGTTTCGGGCTTACATGTTGGAGCAGAGACAGCAAGATGACAACGTTTCACAAAATGCGACATCCTCCGGTCTAATTCATCACTTTAAAGTGACGTCAATTAGACGTGACACGTGAAGCAGCTGTCACAACGATCATACTATTAGAACTGACTGCCGTCTTTATTTATTCATCTTTTTTGTTAGGGCTTGGTCAAATGTATTTAGAAGAAGAAATTTATTCAAATTTATTTATCTAGAAATATTTATGACCTGGGATTGAATGTCAAAAGTTCTTCCAAAATGGAAGACTTAATATTACTCATATCTCCAGCAGCTCTCTCTCTCTCTCTCTCTCTCTCTCTCTCCCTCCTCCGCCATCTTTTCTTACTTTTTAAGAAGATTTTACTGGGATGTATTTCTGGGTCATGGGGAGGTGGACAGAGAAAATGTGGAGTCAGAAACTCCTTAAAATGAAATAGATTATGTGGTGAATAAGGAATCAGACAGTGCCAAATCTGCTTATTTTTAAGTAAGAAAACACAAATTATGCCGAGTAACCAAATGGAAGATTGTAGCAACAAGGTATCCTCCCCCAGAAAAACATGAATTTAATTTTAAAGCACATTTCAGCAGCAAAAAAAGGCTTTAGTGGACAGGAAGGTCCTACAGTCTATTCAAATATATAATAAATCTGTTTATTTATTCAAAAAATAGATATACTCCCACAGACATAGAAGCCGAGGAATAACATGGCCTCAGCTCTGAAACTGTCTGGCTGTTTGCTCTGTAAAAGTAAACGAGTGCAAATGTGTTGCAAATGAAATCGAGAAACGAAGAAGAGAGTGACGGGACAAGAAGCAGGAGTGAGAGCTGAACAACAGGAGGAAGAACGAGTCAAAGCAGAAATAAATCTGAGCTCTTGTTGTTTGTACGTCTTCAGTCGCAGGCGGAAGCTCATTATAGAGGCAGCCGTCATGCCAAGAAGCTGAAGTCTCAGGAGAACAAGGCCAAAGCCAAGCTGTCAGTCACACCGGAGACCAACGGGAACAGCTGCGGTCCTGCTGGTCCGGCCCATCCGCTCCCTGCTAACAGCGGCAACGGTCAGGGCACAGGTGGCGTTTATCCCCCAGACAGATTACTGATCTGAACGCTCAAACTTTTGATTGGACTTCAACTCTTCCTCCCTGTCATCCTCTCTGCAGAACTGTTCTCCATCCCCCCAGACGCCCTGTCCTCCGTTAAGCCGTGCCTCCCGTCCTCCACCTCCCCTCTTTCCTCGTCTCCCTCCGTCAGCAGAGCTGGCAGTGAGCCTCCGTCGTCCAGCCCGCCCTCCGCCCTTCCGGCCCCCGGCCTCTCTTCGTCTTCCTCATCCTCCTCCTCCTCTTCAAGTTCTTGCCCCCCATCTTCGGTCGCCCCGCAGACCACCTCCTCATCCTCCCAGGATGCTCCTCACTCGGTGGAGTCCGAGGAGGAGAAGGCGAAGAAGCTCCTGTACTGCTCTCTGTGTAAAGTGGCCGTCAACTCTCTGTCTCAGCTGGAGGCTCATAATGCAGGCAAGGACAAGAATGGATGAAAATGTATATATCTATATAAGGTTTTTGGTACTTTTGCATGTTTGGTTTCACTTTGGAGTAAAGATGAATCACATGGGTGAATATTTCTCTCCTTAGCCTATTTACACGTTCATTGACACACACTTTAAACACAAAATCCAACAATGTGAGTGAACATTTTTTAGTGAAGCCTTTGAGGAGTTATCGTCTCACCTTTACGCTTCTCTGATTGGCCAGGCTTACATAAAAAGTGAGCAAACAAACCCTGTGGTAAAAAACGCTGAGAACAGGAAGAGTATCTAAAACCGCCACGTTGACTGAATTTTTTTTTCAAGGATTAGGAGGTCTGACAAATCCATCTACTTTTGTGAATTACTCCAGGAAATACGCTCTGAATACTTAAAAACCCTTTTCTCTAATTTTGCCCAGAGGTGGAGAGGCGTCTCTAGCTGACGCTCTGAGACTCTTCTACCTTCGAGTCTTTTTGACTCGATGTTTTGTGCCTCATGCGATGTTTCTTTACGCATCTCAGGTTCAAAGCACAAAACGATGCTGGAGGCGCGCAGCGGCGCGGGGCCGATCAAAGCTTACCCCCGACCAGGGGCCAAACTGAAGAACGGCAGCAGCTCGGCCCTGAAGGGCTCTGGCCTGCAGAACAAAACCTTCCACTGCCAGATCTGTGACGTCCACGTCAACTCTGAGATCCAACTCAAACAGGTAAACAAAAGTCAAATGCCTCTTGATCTCTGTTATTTACTTATGTTATTAGACAAATACTTCGCTTTGCCAATTTGCTCCCCCACATCCTTTCCATGTGTTCTCATTTCTCCCTGACCGACATCCCTTTATTGCACCCCCAGTAATTACTCTTGGTTGTTTCTGATTAATTATGGAGGCAATAAAGCATGCAATCCTGCATATAACTTCCAGTTTTCCTGACAGTGTTTCTGTTTAGTATTTTTGGTAAACAAAACCCTTCCAGACCATTAACACGAATCTCCTTCGGTTACTTGCAGTCAAAATGCAGCACAAGTGCCTGCTGATGCTTTATTGATACAACTGGTGTCACTAGCGTCTCTTTGCCACCATCTAGTGGTCAGAGTGAGAACTGTATCCATTTAGTACGCGTTTGTGGGTGAAACGCTTTGGAGGAGGATGAACTGGACAGAAACCAATGTAGAAATCCAATTTCAAATAAAATCTAGAGAAATTGTTTCAACACTGTTGCAGAAGATTGCGTCTGTTGCTGATATTTATGCAAAAACAATCCGTTTACTTGGAAGGTTGTACATAAATTATAGGTAGTAGGTCTCCAGATGTGTTTTAAATTTGAAATCTAGAACCTTTTTTTTTCCCACCAGAACCCCACGTTCTTCCTCCTGAGCCAACTAAAATAAGCCGGCGTTACCTCTTGCTCTCAGATACCAGTTCTTTAAGAAATATCACTGCAGCCCCATCAACTATTTACCGATTATAGGTTGCTGTAAATCGACGGGTGATTAGCATGAGACAGCGAAAACGTGAAGATGGAAAAGCGGTAAAGGCTAAAGTCTGATTTGTTTATGTTGTTGACGTTGCAGCACATCTCCAGCAGAAGACACAAGGACAGGGTGGCAGGAAAACCCAGCAAGCCAAAGTACAGCCCTTACAACAAGCAGCAGCGCGACTCGCTCACTGTGAGTGTCTCCTTCCAGCTTTCTGCTCAACTTACAGTGGAGAAATTCACCAGTAGGACAGAAAGACACAAACTACCTCAAGAGCATTTGCTTAACTTTGTCTTCGTATTTTCTCTTTTCCCTTGTGCCTTTTCTCCTTGTTATCTGCATGTTTCGTCTTTCATTTGCTCTACTCCTGACCTTTCTGTCTCTGATTCTTTATTTTTCTAATCTAAACTCTTTTTTTTCCTTTCATCTTCTCTCCACTGCTCATTTCCCATATTCTTCTGTCTTGCTTGTTCTTCCTTCTTCTGTTCCCTCTTTGATTTTTCCTTGTCGTTTTATTTGATCTTATTTCATTTTATATATGCTGTCATTTCTTATTCCACTTTATTTTCTACCATTTTCTTGTCTTTATTTTTTTGCCTCGCTGTTTTGTCCGCTTTCTCACTTCATCATTTCATTTCCCCTTTATTTTCTTATCTCATTTTTTATTATTTTTTTTATTTCACCTACTGGATTTGATCATTTTCCTTTTCCACTCTCCCTCTGTTATCACTCGTCTCCTTGTCTCCTCAGAAGGAGCTGGCGAAGCCTTCTCTACCTCCTTCCTTCCTTTCCTCTCCTTTCACTTCCACGTCCTCTCCCCTCCCTCCCTCCATTTCTCTCCCTCCTGCCTCCATCTCCTCCTCCCCCCTCCTCTCGCACGCCTCCTCACCCCTGACCCCCGCCATCTCCCTCCACCCTCGCCCTCCGTCGTCCTCGTCCCTCTTCACCGCCTCCTTCCTGCGTCCCGCTCCGGACCCATCCGAACCAACCAAGGATCGATTCTCTTCGCGCCCTACTGATGTCCGAGGGAGCGGCGGGGAGTCGAGCCCACAACCTTTGACCCCTAGCCCGCTGTGCGCTGGAGCTCCAGCTGTTGCTGCAGCTTTCTTACTTGACTGATTCTTCCTACAGAGACATGAAGAGGATGGAGACGTCGTGCTTTCTTATCAAAGACGCTCTGGTTCCATCCAGCACCTCCAGACATGGAGGGCAGAGGGCACCGTTGCGTTCACTGACCCACTGAAGTTGACCTGAACAGAACCAGTGGCTAGCAAAGCTCCCAGACGTACTGGAAATCAGGATAAATGTATGCAGTTGTGGAATATTCATGAAGATCCATTCAGCATCGTATAGAAAGCAATAAGAGTTACAGGAGATGGGTTCAAGACTGGAAAAAAACCCAAAAAGGCTGCAGCTCATATCTTAAATCATTGTGGTGTTCCACATCCGGTGCCCATTTAACAAAAATATTAAACATTTTTATTTTGTTTTTACTGGGTTAGACTTTTTGAAAAGCTTTATTTTTTTCCCCTCAATCATTTGATGCATCAATACGAAGGATTCCAACTAGTTTCTGCAACTTGAGGGATTGCTTTTGTTTTGGTGACAAATATTGGAGGCACATAGTTGGATTGCTAAATGTGGATCCTCTTTCCTTTTCTTCTTTACCATTTGATTTAAAACATCTACCTCGATGAAAGACCTACAAAACATATTTGTTTTTGTGAAGTTGTCCTTAAAAGGAAAATAGAAATTTGTCAGTGACAAACAAGAAAAACCAAAATGAGCAGAAATCGGTACTGGCCGGGAGAAGAGTGATCGGTGCAGCTCTAGATTGAATCCAAATGTCAGAAGAGGGGTGAAAACATTGCATTGGTTGTTTAGCAGGCTGATAATCTGCCTCTTCTTACACGGTAAAAAAGAAGAGGACGTAGGAACTGTCCTTCCTCCCACTGTAGAAGCAAACCAGCATTAACAAGATGTCACAAAACAAAAAACACAAAAATAAGACGACTGCTGTCTTCTCATGCCTCAGATGTGGCTTCATATATAAATATACAAATACCGAGGAATTATTTCTTTTTTTCTTAACTTTAAGTAAAACAACCAAATATGGGATCCCCCAGCCTAACCGAGCAGATGTCAGTCACATATTAAAACAGTTTCAGTACATTAATTTGTTTTATCTCATTCAGATATTTCTTTTCATGCACACTCCTACTGGTTGTCATAGAGACTACACTGAATCAAGAGCAATGTGGGCTTTGACTAGACCCCGAATTTACCATTTCTCAATTCTCAGTTGGTTGATTCTGGATTTAAATCTAAAACTAAAGTATTAGTTTTTTATCATAGTAAAAATTGTAATTTTTTAAATCAAAAGCCCCACAAGAGACTTGTATCTCTAAAGTTAAACTATTAATTATTAGCTCTCAAACCATATTGACTGGAAATGTTCTAATTTATAATACCTGGAAATGTGAATGTGTCTTCTCAATATGTATTTATGCAGAAATTCTTTTTTCAATCAGAGAAAATCAGTTCCTATTGGTTTAAATATCAAACTGTCTTCTTACTTCATCATTACATTGTTTTAAATCTTTCATAAAACCTAAGCAAGAGACAAAAAAGACTTTTTCTTTTGCCTTCATGTTGTTGAAAATGTCCATTGTTTCAGAAAATCTAGTTGAACTAAAATTTATAGAAACGGATAAAAATAATGCATCAGTAACCATCCTTCTTCTTCTTTGTCCTGAAAAGCTTTGTTGTCAAAGAGGTGCACTTAACCAACATACAGAGGAAATGCATCTATTTGTCTTCTTTCTGAACTAACTTCAGATTATCTGAGCAGAAGGTAGACATGAACCAGTGGGAATGTTTTTGAGGGGTTTTTTCTGCGGTTTCAAATCCTTCACCATGTTTCTTCCTCCTGAACGACTTGAAGCATCCCCGTCTTCCAGTGTTGACCTGACGGGTAGAAAGACTTGTGTGTGTGTGTGTGTGTGTGTGTGTGTGTGTGTGTGTGTGTGTGTGTGTGTGTGTGTGGGTGTGGGTGTGTGTGTGTGTGTGTGCGTACTTGCGTGCGTGTGTGTGTGAGTTTATCTATGCACCCTGTGTGACTCTCATCCATATGATGGGTGATAGGTATTTGTGAATCTAAATAGAAGGACAAACAGACAACGCAAGTGAATTTTATGAAAGCTTTTGCAAAAGGAGAGAACCCAGCAAACTGCTGCTTCCAGCCGTTCACTGAGCGCTCTGAAGACCCTTTGTTAGGGCTTTCTCTTTTATTGCAAAGTAGAAAGTAGAAAAAGGAATGTGGAGGGAGGCAGATAGGAGTATCCCGAAGATACAAGTGGCTGCAGCTTCAAGGTCTGTACACAGCTGCAGCTCCAAAGTCTAACAAGTATGAGAGCTTTTCTCAGGGATGTGAATAATAAATCTATTATAGCTACCAATGTAAGAATGATAACAAAACATAATTATTCTAACATTTCCCCCTGTTTATAATTCTTACGTAATAACTATGCAAAAAATAGTATAAAAAGAAAAAGAATGGATGACACATGTTATACAAGAGTTGAAGAATACATAATATATAATATAAGAAGGATAGAAAAAAGAAATGTAAAAGAAACATTGAAAACCAAATGCATATAATGTGGTGTTAATAATATAATAATGTTGAATGTAAGAATGAGAACACAGAAAAAAACAACAACCCAAAAACAAACAAACAGCAGAAAATCAAGTGCAGTTATCATCACTAACACCATTTGTTTTCACATTTTCAGTGTAGGAGTCATCAAGCAAATGATTTAATCTGTTTATTAATTTACAAGACATCATCATATGTACTCATTTTCCAGTCATCTTCTTTCTTCTGGAGCAACATGTAGTCCTCATCTGTGTCAGAGATTACCCTGACCAACTGATAGCTGAGCAGAGCAGTGTTAAATGTCTTTAACAGCATGCTTTGAAAACATGAAATGATGCAGGTTGTGAACAGACAGAATAGGATCAGTCCAGTCAAGATGGGTGTTTCTTAAACAAAAGCTGCCACCAGATTCTGGAGGTCAGCCAAGAAAGAAAGTCAAAAGTTTGTGAGCCCTGAGTTGCACTGTCCACATAGTTCTTAAGCTCTTCCAAATCATGCAGGGCATCATGAATAGTTCCACCAGTTCCTCTTTCATCTCATGTTGAACCTATGATCTTGCAGACGCTTCCTTGAGAGGTTGTGAGAAAAGCCAATACAACACGGTTTTCAAAAACATGTAAGCTCCATGTCCGCACAGGAAGTACCAGTCAGCCATCACCCATTGACCATAGTCTCCTGGCACTATGGCGCTGCAACGAGCTTTCTTCTGTCGTCCTCTCGTCTGCTGAGTGATGTCGAACGAACCTCCTTTCCTGAAGCAAATTGTGACAGTTTGGATTGTCGTTCCAGATGCTGTGTTCTGGGGTTGGCTCCTGACCTCTGCAGGCGACGAATTCCAGTGTTGTTTCGCAGAAGGTGTAAACTGTGTTACACAGGTTCCATGGGAGCATTCCTAGTGTTGTAGTTCCAGTGTTGTAAATGCAGCTCCTGAGAGACCCTGGTTCGGCTCCTGCCAAGGAAATGGTCTCTGGTATTCTCATCACAGTCTGTGGAAATGGAAGAACATCAGCAGCAAGTGAACAACAGTTCATAGCTCCAAAAAGTCCTTTAGCGGCAGCTCCTGTCCGAAGTGAAAAAGAATAGTCCTTTTTGCACCATCTGCAGCCCTTTGGTATGGGGATGCTGCACCTTGGGTGTGTGCTCAGGCCATAGAGACACATCTGTTTGTCATCAGTGATGTTACCTGGTCGAAGGCCTGAGTTGTGTGTGGCGTAGGGCAGCTGTGCACACACATAGCAGTTCACCTCATGAGCAGTCCTGTTCATTAGTTGCCACCACAGGTTAGTGCTGCAGTCATGTGGATGAGACTGGGGGAAGAGTGTTTGTGCTTCTCTCCTTATCTTGTGGAGGCTGAGGCAGCTTCCACTCCAGAACAAAAAACATGCTGCAGTCACAGCGCAGCAGAGATTCCACCTGGCCTGTGAGAATCCCATTGCTGCTCAGATTACAGAGATGTTAGAATGTACCTAGGACTCTATAGAACAGGGGGTTGATGATTTCTTCACCACCGTTGAGACAAGTGACCCTAAAAAGCCAAACCCCTGTGAAGGTGGACTCCCACCTGGTCCCACCTAGGCTTCCAACACTCTCTGCAACTTACAGTGACTGAGATGAATCCAGCTGGGTCGTTCAGCAATCTTTACAGCAGTTAGAGTTGTTATCAGCACTTAGAATGGTCCCTCCCACCGCGGGCTGGCCCAGCTCTTCCTCTTTATGACTTTGATAAACGCCCAGTCTCCTGGCTTGGTGGGAGTGGTTTCCTGTGGGAGAGGAGAGTCAGAGGGCAGTAAATTTGCATTTGACACCTCCTTCTGTTTCAGAGTCCTGATCACGTAATCTGCCAGTGTTTGCTCCTCATCTGCATGTTGCAAATCTGGTGAAAATATAGGTAATCTGTATGGTGTGCCATGAATTATTTCAAATGGTGTTAATCCTTCTTGTGTGGGTGTAATTCTCATGTACAACCTTACCAAATCTAAACATTTTAACCACGGTGTTCCATACATTTTCTTTAATCTAATTTTCAGTATAGATGGTTTGTGGTATTGGAATAATAGTTTTACATAAGCTTTAGCTACTGTCAAAGCATCTGGATGTTTTGCTAGAACTATTTCAACCCATTTAGAAAAAGCATCAATAATTACCAAACAATATTTGTTTGCATTGTTTGAAATGGATAAGAAGGTTTTGGGAAAGTTCCTCTTTTGGCCTTGTGTTCCCTTGTGGATTGTGTCTAACACAAAGTATGCAGAACAAAAAATTTTTAGATAAGAATTTAGTCCATATGTTGTGAAATACTGTAGTATTATCCCCACTATTCCCCCTGTTGACACATGGCATCGCCCATGTGCCACAATTGCGGCTGCTTTAGATAAAGACTTTGGGAGAACTGGTTTGTTATTGACTTGAAAAATTTCCTCATCATTCATTTTGCACCCTGCTAGTTTTAGCTAGCAGTTGTATTGCTTGAAGGATAGCTGTTAGCAAAGAGGCATTTTGTTAAAGATCTTACATATGGATGTTATCAAATTCATCAAGGTGAAGCACTTTTGTTTTACTCCTGACAGAAGGCACAACCCAGAGTTGGCTCTGCTGCAGAACAATGTTATTACCCTTTTACATGAAAATTACCATTCTGAAATTAAGCCAAAATCTCAAATCCTCTAATTCAATATTCCTTTATGAATTTAATGATCATCAATCAATCAACCTTGGATTAAAGGTTTTAAGCGTTATCTAGAAAACATTATGTTCATTCACAAACATCAATTTGGAGTAACTAGTTAGATAAAATATCACAATTTAATTTAACCTTGCATTTCAGACCAGTTGACAAAGTAATTTTTATGATTTAAATAATAATTTGATCAGTTACTCGGTTCTTGAGTGCAATCTGTTTGCTCCCATAATCACACTCATTTCCATCAACGTAATGCGAGACAAACAAAAACATAAAAATTAATCAGATTTTCAGCCACAAATTTATAGTCTGCTTTCATTGTTGTCCTTTGCTCAAAAAGAAAACGAAAACTTTTGTAAATAATTATTAGCTTAGAATCTTTGATCATTTTTAGCTGGTGTAATTTAGTGGCATAATTTCCATTAGTTCTTTGATAAACTTTTAGCGATTGCAGTTTTCTCTTCACGGTTTCCCAACCTGTGGCTCATGGACCCTAAGAGGATCCTTAGCAGTGGCCCTGCTGTTCAGGACTCAGAGTTAAAAGGGACAAACTGAGAGAATTTGTCTATCATTGAACATAAAAGCCGTTAAGACTTTCTTTTCTGGCTAGATAATATGTGAACAGGGTTATAAAGCAAGCAAGTCTTCATTGCAGTAGCAGTGTACAACAGTTGTGTATGTGTATAACACTTATTATCTTGGATGAGCTCATTTCTCCCTCCTCCTCCTGCTGCTGGCGTCGCTGCAGGCTGTCCCTCACGCAATGTCCATGCTGTCCACAAATGAAACAAGGGTCAAACAGTTCAGTTTGTTGTCTCTGAAGCACATTATCCTTCCTTCTCCACGCTGATGTCAGGGAGAAGACCAGTGGAGGTTGTAAGAGTTCAGTTGCACCCAAACACAGGAATGTAGTTTCAGACCAAATGTCTAGCAGGACTCCATGTAGTAGTTGCTCAATGACAGTTCCTGGTGTCAGAAAATTAGGATCAGCAGATCTCTTCTTTGTCTTCTTTATCACTGTCATTAGCTGGTGAGGGGGGAGGGACATCATCTCGGCCATGGCAAGACTGGTTTGAGTTGAGGTCAGAGGTCAGACGCACCTCAGGGAGGCTCAGACAGCGGAAAAAGAAAGAAGCAAATAGGAGTCAATTAGAGTTTGTCTTTCTTTCTGTTTTTTTATTTCTAAATATATATCTGTATATATATCTATAGATATATATACAGATATATATATATATATATCTATATAGATATATATATATCTATATATATCTATATATCTATATAGATATATATATATCTATATATATCTATATCTATATAGATATATATATCTATATATATCTATAGATATATATATATATATTATATATATATATATATATATATATATATATATCTATAGATATATATCTATAGATATATATATCTATATAGATATATAGATATATATAGATATATATATAGATATATATATATAGATATATATATATATATATATATATAGATATATATATATATATATAGAGATATATATATATATTTCATATCTATATCTCTTTTCTCTCTTTAGATTATATAATTTTAGCCACTTATTACCCAACATTTTATTTAAAAGTTAAAAGTCATTAACTTATTTGAACACATATAAAAATGAAACATGTTAAACCCACAGTCTCTTATCCTTTGCCATGTTAGAGTTTAATGTAGAATGTAAGTTAATTTAAGTTTAAGTTAACTTAGTCTGAGAAAACATCAGAGATCAATGAATTACTTTAAGTTTGTTGATCCTAATGCTGAGGTGTGAAGTCAGTGAGCAGCCCTCTTCTCATTTTAAGCCTAAGTGAGATATGAGGCTGGATAATGTCCAGGTCGGTACCAAAACTCTGATCGCTGACCCCCCAAACATACAGCCAAAGGATCACAGCACCAAAATTGGTGTCATTTTCTTTTGTAATTGTTCTACCAAGTAATCAATACATTGAAAAGAAAGGAAAAAAATGTTGTCATCTGTTGCTTTCTCTGTATAATTTCCCCTTACTTTTGCCCAATTTTTCCCTAATGAGGACATGGCTACTTCTACCCCATTTAGTCTGTATGAGTGAATTAATCCAGCCATGTCTTCTATCCACTTATCGGGGTCCTCTGCAACATGTGTCATTCCTTCCACAGCCTTCCTGGCCTCTTCTAAAGTCCAGGGTCTGAAAACATAAATGTGTGGTGACTGGCCATCTCTAGGATTTGGGTTTGGGACCTGGATCATTGGATATTGTTCTGTACCGTCAAAACTGTTCAAAACTTTTGGCTGTTTGTACTGCCTGAGATTATATGAATGTCCCTGATTACTGGAACCTGCGCCTTCCTTCATATAGCAACGGTGGGTAGACAGGAAGGGATGGATAAAGTGTATTTGGAGTGAGAACTGACAGTGGATCTGTGGTCAGCTCAGCTGGTGGTGATTTGCAGGAGTGAGAGTTGGAGGGGCTGAGGGGAGTGCTGCCTGTGTGCGTGGAGGAGGGGCCTGCATTGCACCTAGTATGGGCTCATTATCTTCCGGCTTTACAAACAAAGTAGTGGCTTCCTCACTTTTACTCCCTTTGTCTTTGTTTTTTCTAATTTGTTCTCTCCTTTCTTTAGTTGCATCTAACCATTGTTTAGCACATTTCAGTTCTTCCTCCTTTCTTTTTCTCCTCCTTCCTTGTTTTTCAGCTACGCTTTTTTCTAATATTCCCACTAAAGTTTGCCATTGTTCAATTTTTAATTTCCCATCTATCTTAAATTTCTTCTTCCATTTTGACATGTGTACTGTGCTACCAGGAAATCTGGACAGCATGTACTTTTCATCCCCTGTGGGATCCTCAACAAGTGAGGAATTACAAGAATTTTTATTTCCCATTATTTAAGTACTCTGCAATTTAGCTTTAGAAGTGACTTGATATTTTGTGCTCTCTCTCAAGTAAGTGCTGGAGGTCAGCGCTTAGTGTCCCCTGAAGAACAGGCTTCTAGACTGAGACTAGCCTCAGTCCGGTTCTTCACTTAGGATTCTAATTCCGAGGACAGAAAGTTTTACTCACAGAGAGAGATGAGCACCACTCGCTCTTGTATGCACACATACACACACACACACACACACAGCACGGCAGCAATGACACAGCAATAACGATCGCAACTACAAACAATGACACAGCAACAAAAATCGCAGCAACAAACAATGACACAGCAACAAAAATCGCAGCAACTAACAATGACACAGCAATAAAAATCGCAGCAACTAACAATTTCCTATCAGTGCGAGGATTTTTCCTTATGGGAGGTCCTCATTAAAAGAGGGGCTCTAAAAACACCTCTCTCGTAGATTTTAGTTGAGACGACAGGGATTCTACACCCTCTGGGACTTTAGTCAAGTTGTTCCGACAAAGACTCCCAACCTGTTTAGCTGATAAACATCAACTGGGCCTTTAACCCGTTTAGTCAAAATACTATTTGACAAGGACTTTAACCTTTTTAGCTGATAAACATCAACTGGGACTTTAACCCTTTAATTATTTAATTGTTTCACTCACAGAACCAGTTGGACTGTTCGGTCGGATCTCGGCAGTCCCGCCGCTGGCAGGCAAAGTCGGACCTAAGGCGCTGGCCTGGCGAAGAATTCACTTCCTGAGTCTTTCTCTCCAAGTCCTAATGACTCTGGCCGTGCACGGTTTCAGCGCGTCGTTCTTCATCTGTCAGCGAACAAAATGCGAGATCCGGGTCACGGCACCAAAATGATAGGTATTTGTGAATCTAAATAGAAGGACAAACAGACAACGCAAGTGAATTTTATGAAAGCTTTTGCAAAAGGAGAGAACCAGCAAACTGCTGCTTCCAGCCGTTCACTGAGCACTCTGAAGACCCTTTGTTAGGGCTTTCTCTTTTATTACAAAGTAGAAAGTAGAAAAAGGAATGTGGAGGGAGGCAGATAGGAGTATCCCGAAGATACAAGTGGCTGCAGCTTCAAGGTCTGTACACAGCTGCAGCTCCAAAGTCTAACAAGTATGAGAGCTTTTCTCAGGGATGTGAATAATAAATCTATTATAGCTACCAATGTAAGAATGATAACAAAACATAATTATTCTAACATTGGGCATAATCAAGAAGGCGCCCAGCCAGGTCATCTGCCTCCTCCATCTGACGACGTCGCCATAACGCAACATATATATGAGCTGCCGCTTTTTCTCCACTCCTTCACCGTCACCATCAGCAGCACTGGGATCCGCAGGGGGCCGGATACTGGGACCAGGTTCCAAAACTGGTGAGAGGTTAGTAGAGATGCACTGGCGGAGCTTATAATGTTTGTTTATGTGTGATTTTAAACAAAGCTGACATAATTATTTTCCGTTTCTTCCAAAAATAAAAGTTTATCTAAATAAAAGGCACTGGAAAAATAGCATATAGTTACATAAGAGTTGTAAGAGGAGATCAGGACGAACTGCGTTTCATTGCACAACTTGGACGCAGGTTTTCAGTCCCACTTCAGATGTCATTCATGCGCTGCTGTGCAAAATGTCCTGAACCGAAAGGACAAGCCTGCAGACAGAGACAGAGAACACATGCTGTAAAATATGCATCAAACAGATTTTTGCTTTGAATTTATTCTTCAAATGTATTTTAAAAGATCCTATTTGCAGACTTAATGACTTCTCTCTATGTACAGTATTTATTTCCTTTGGACTTGTTTTCAATGCGAAATTATGAAATGGAAGATATGCAAATGTAAACTTTGTCAAGTGTCACACTTCTTTCTGTAAATTTTTTGTTTTCATTAAAAACAAGTGAGCAGCATTCAAAGATTGTGTTTGTTTAATGATCGCTCAGAATCAAGAGACAAAAAAAAAGGTAGCGAGAGGTGTGGGTGAAATGTGTCCTTTTGTTGTTTATTTTAGATCTGGTGTTTAAAAGAACAAAATTGGAGTCAAGTTTGAATTTTACACTTATGATCTCTAATCCACACATCATCAAATGCGACACTGAAACTCCGTTCAGTTATTCCGGCCTGATATCAGTGTGTTTTTATTCCCCTTGAGGGAAACCTCTAGGCGCATAAGTATTCCTGCAGCTGCATTAAGTGTGACAGAAAGATAAGCAAAACTTTATATTTGAATATGCCTGGGAGAAAAGGCTACTCCCTATCGTTTTCTTAATCGACAATGTAGCGCTTTCTCTGAATAAGTCTGTTGTACCGACATGTTTCACTCTTGACCTTGGGAGAACAACAACGCCGGCCCTGATAGGAAGCTGCTCTCTCCTCTTCTCCCACTTCTTGTAATTCAGAATATGCAGCCCGACCTTGTGAAAAGCAAATAAACACGAGTCATATACTTTGCATTGCTACCTGCTCATATTTTCCTAGCTTTTAAACTAAATGAAACAAATCTAGACTGAAATGTAATAAAACAGAATACGACATAAGGTGTAAGTGTTTTGCACACTGTGCAAAAAGCTGCTAGGAGCAGAAAAACCTGAGCAAACTGCTCATGTTGAGGACAGAGCCAGAAAACTGGACTGAGCTGGACATTTTGTTTAACTGGCTTGATAATTTACTGCATTCTAAGCAACTTGTGCTTTGTGTTCTAAAGCAAGTCCAGTAAAACTATGACCATGTCACTTTAGTGTCGAACCTGACGAACACGTCATTCATTCAGGCTTCAGACCAGCAATAATTTATCCGAGATTAGAGATCAAGACAAAAAACAAGTTCAGATCAAAGCAGAAATGTAATGATTGCATTGTGGTTGTTTCATATTGTTTGTATTGTAATTTCACCGGTGATCACCTGAATGTAAATTGTGTTCAAGCTGAAGTATAATGCTCTTATGTGTGGAGGAAGGTGAGCTTGTCAGATTTTTGGCCAACATGTAAAACACTGAGTGTTGAGTAAAAACGCTGCATCCTGAACACACCATGAAGCACGGTGGTGGCGGCATCATGCTGGATTGATTTTTTTTTTCCCAGAGAATTCAGAAGCTTGTCAAAGTTAATATATATACATATAATTTTGCATGTACATTAGACCATGAGCTGATGGACGCAGATAAAGTCAAACAAGTTATTTGACATCACTGCACTAAACAGCATCTCAAGCCAACCTGGCATCAGCTGATAGTTTCAAATTGGTCAGAAAGTATCACCTCTTTTCCCTCCTTCTCTGATAAAATTCAGCTTTCATAAATAACTCGTTTGAAATGTTTTTTTTATTTTTTATTTTCATCATTTCAAATGTTCCTCAGGTTAAACGAAGATACGTTTGGTTACAAAGTCACTGCTGTCCCTTTTGTTTTTCTGGAGGACCCTGGGATAAAACTTTGAACTTTTTAAGACACAGTTTCTATTGAGCTGCGGTGACGCTGTAGCTTGAGGGTGAAATTATACTTTTTAAAGCGAGGCGGCTGTGAGGGGCTGGATGAGAGGAGGAGTTTTTCTCTCACTTGTGGAATAAAGGCGACGCGGAGCTGCATGAAGACACTGCAGCAACCAGAGCTCAGATGTAAGATTTATGTGCTTGATATTGTAGACGTAGTACATTATGGGAAAATTGTGTGCAAGTAGCTAAAGTGCGAGTGTTTACAGTCTCCAGACAGAGTGCCTCCCTGACCCCTGCATTATAACCAGTGGAGGAAACAGAATCTCGGATTCGATTTTGGGGCTTAAATAAGGAAGATGCAGGATTACGAGGAGTCCGTCTTGTTTCTGGGCAGCTGGGGCCCGTTCCAGAGGAGAATCTTCTTTGTTCTTTCCCTCGCCTGCGTTCCATGTGGATACAACATCCTGTCTGTCATCTTCCTGCTGGCCAGCCCCCCACACCACTGTAACATCCCTGCCCACAGCAACCTGAGCCAGGAGTGGATCCAGGCCATCATCCCAGTAGAGGTATTCTGAATCCGAGCCAGTGAATGCGTTCACTTTGGCAAAGCATTTCAGCCATTATAGGATGTGGAAGTTTATCTTTATTGTTTATGATGTTATGTAAGTAAATTGCTCGCATCTGTTCAGGTGTGAATAGCGAACAAAGCTGCTATCCTCCATTTGTTTTAACTGTTCGCCCTCACAACCTTTACTATCAGTTTGCATCGCAATATATTGTTGCACGGGTCTAAAAGCCTGGAGCAGTAAAAGATTATGGTCGATCCGACAAACAGCAGAGGAATAAGAAATACAGTAGCTACTGGGCACACAAAGAGTCAAGTTTTTATTCAGGAGCAGCAGAGGGCAAAAGTAGAGCTTTGGAAGAGGAATCAGATAACAACTGCATAAATTAATTAATTCTCCTAATTTTTACGTAAGTAGAAGATTTTTTTTAATTTCTTTTTTTATGCGAATGAACACAAACTCAAGATTTTGATCTAATAAGATTTTTTATATTCTTTAAACCGCAAAATCAGCATATGAGTGAAGCAATGAAATTGTAAACTTCAACTTAATTATTTTAGGATAAATAAATATCACTCCAGATTCTAAAATTATCATAAATATTTATTTGATTTCTATCTCATGAAATCTCTGGACGAGCTGCCTGTCCGTCACAGGGACACACAGAGACACAATGATGAACTCTGACACCTTGTTTAAAACAAGGTGCCCATTCTTTGCACAGATTAGATGATTTGTAAAATGTAGAAAAACCATATTGTATTTACCTACCACAGTGCACACAAACACTCAGTACAAGCATTTTAGAAGTGCTGTGTTACACTAGGATGCGCAGATTTGTAGATTTACTCAAAGCGTGTACTGTCGACATAAAGTACACACAAACGTGAATAATTCGGTGGAAGGTTTCATCGTCAATTCAAATCCCGTTCCTGACCTGATGCGGTCTGGTCCACAGCTGCCCTGTGCTCTGTAGCAGGAAAAATAAACTGTGGAACTGCAATTGCATTGTTTCCTGGTCAGCAGGTGGCCGGGCAGCCGGAGAAAAGCAGCTGCAGCCGGTACGAGCTGGACCTGGTTAGGAACCTGTCTGCATTTGGAGTCAGTCCAAACTGGTTGCAGAACCAGTCGGCGTCGGAATCGAGGCCAGAGGCTCTTCTGTCACAGCTGAAGCGGGAGGCCTGTAGAGATGGATGGAACTACAGTACGGAGCACTTCCAGTCCACTGTGGTCACGGAGGTATCATCACTCTGTGATTTAATAAAAAGCAGCATGGAGTTAATGGTTATTTCAGTATGGCAGTAACACACAGTAACTCACACCTCAGCTGGCTCTTCTTGTTCAGACTCAGTCATTCTGAACTGGTTCTTACTCATAACTCACTGCAAGGTCGTGACCTTTCCCCACAGGCGCTGACTGCATTTTGAGCTTAACAAAACCATTTATACATGCCTCATGGTTTAAAAAGAAGAAGAAGAAAAAAACCTTCTTGAATTTCTTTTTTTCTGAGCTTTTTACAACGTGTGACAATTTTGAAACATCTGAAACCGACAGCTTGACACAAAAGTCAGAGGTAGATAGAAAGATTGATGAAGCTTCATTAAGAAAAGAAGCTCCATCTGGGTGAACTGGTTAAGAGGAACAGAACCGAAAGATTGAAGCTGGTTGTTTTTTTGTTTGTTGGGGGTTTAAGTTAAATGTTTGCTTCGTGTTTTCCTCCCAGTTTGACCTGGTGTGCAGCGACCAGTGGAAGCAACCTCTGACCTCTCTCGTCTACTTTCTGGGAGGACTTTCTGGATGCTTCATCTCCGGACTAATCTCTGACCGGTGACTCTCCGTCTCTTCATTTAATGTTTGCAAAATGACGTATCTCTCCGTCCCCAAAAAACATAAATGATTTACAAATTGGAATCATTTCCAAGCAGTTAGATTATAGAATTGCCATGCTTGTTGATTGCATGTTTTAGTCTTGTACAAATCTATTAATGTCTTATAATAATCTAAGCTAATAATGACAATTAAATTGAGTTTTTTGTCTGTTCATTATCGTCAAACATCGTATGATGACCTGCTTCCTTTATCAGAGTCATTTTTTTAAAATGATGGACTCCAAACTGCTCATAATTAGCATTAGAAAATCTTTTCAGATAGATTATTGCTAATGTTTGGTTTTTGTTATTATAGTGTGAACAGAAACATTTATACAGTGCATTTGATTAACTGTGTAAAACCTATGAATGCAGTATATAGGGTCTGTGTTTTTCACACGTCCCTGAATTTCGAGTCTATATTGGTTAAATAATAATTATAAAAAGCACAGCTGCACATTTGGTTTATCAGCAAAATTCACAATTTTGGGTGTCTCCAAAAAATATGTCACAATATGACCAGATTTTACTCAAATTCAACTCCAGGTCAAAGGTTGAATCATCCAGATGATTAAAAGTAGCATTTTGTGTAGGATAGTTGCGCTTTTTAAATAGCTCCTGTTTGATTTTCTTTAGCACAAACAGCCCTATTATTTACATTTAACCAATAAACACAACCAGAAGTTGAGGCTGAATGATGATGATCAGGATATTTCCTTTTTAACCGAGACTGTATCTGTTGCATTTACGCCCGAATCCTTCTCTGCTCTGGCGCTGCAGGTTTGGCAGGAAGCCCGTCCTGTTCGGGTCTATCGCCGTCCTCAGCATCTTCAGCAGTGCTGTGGCTCTCGCTCCATCCTGGCCTGTCTTCACTGTTCTCTTCTTTATGCTGGGCCTGGGTCAGATCGCCTCATACATAGCCGTGTTTGTGCTGGGTATGTTTCTTTGTGGATCTTTGCTCTCACCACATCCTAATGCTGTGTTCATGGCCACTCCGATCAGAAAAACCTCGTTTGTTTGTTGATTTCTTTTATCACCTTGCCATTTCTCCGCATACATGATGCATTCTGAATGTTAGAAATGGTCAGGACTTACATTTGACCTGGAAATGATAATAAAATGTCGGCGTTTTCTCCACAGGCTCAGAAATCCTCGTGGGCTCCAGCAGAATCCTCTTCTCCAGTCTGGGCCAGCCTTTCGTCTATGTATCCTCCATGATGCTGCTGCCAGGAACCGCGTACCTGGTCAGGAGCTGGAGACACCTGTCGCTCATCATGGCTGTGCCTGGCTTGGCTTGCATCCCCCTCTGGTGGTAAGATGGTCTCACCGCACCCTTGATTTTTCGCACTCTGCATCTTTACGCCAAGATGTACAGAATAAGGGGCGCAGTGCTGCAGTGACAGGATGATAAGGAGGCATAATCTCCTCCAAGGAAGGTGAACTTGCATCATGGTGCAAAATAAACAGTGGTGTGACACCACTGCTCTCGCCCAGAACTGTGACACATTTGCTACTTTCAGCTGTAGCTCTTGCACTTGGTGATAAACAAACATAGCGCAATATTGTCTCACTCAGCCGAAGAAGTGACATTTAGTATAGTTGTGGAGTGAGCTCACTCCATAATTAAGCTCCTGGTTTTAGCATTAAAATGTACAAGGGCCTTCTGTTTGGGAGCTTTTGGGGAACTGAGTTTCCGTCCCTGATTGTGTGTCTGCATGTCGACCAGGCTGGTTCCAGAGTCTCCTCGCTGGCTGCTGTCTCGGGGCCGCTTGCAGGAGGCCGAGCTTCTGCTGAGGTCAGCGGCTCTGGAGAACCAAGTGGAAGCTCCTCCAGTCATTTTTCTCCCTCCCAAGGTAGGAACCACCAGCTGAACCTCGCTGGCATACATAGGTGATGGAACAGGTGGGGACCAGGGGTCCATTGCCCCCCCACTTTAGGGCCCTGCTGGTCCGCTGGTCCCACCAGACATTCATACAGGCTGCACACCTGTAGGTGGTGTATTGATGTTTCCTACTTTCTCTCTGCAGGCTGAAAAATCAGCGACACATCAAGCAGAGTCTGTCAGCTTCCTGGACCTGCTGAAGACTGCAAACATCCGGCATATAACACTGAAGCTGTGGCTAATTTGGTGAGCTGCAACAATTTTTATTTTATTTATTTTTGTGCAAAACCATTTTGCTTAAGGTACACACCATCCGAGCAAGGTAACCTTTGTCAAATCGAAGCTTCTTCTATTGAGAAGACTGAAAATAATTTGAAAAAGTGAAATAAATCTAAAAATCAATTAAAATCAATCGGGCTTGGGAGTTTGAGTGCACTTCTGTCTTTGCAGGTTTTCTATGAGCGCCAGCTACTTTGGCTTGTCCTTCAGCATGTCCACTTTGTATGGCAACCCCTTCCTGAACTACTTCCTGTTCACAGCTGTGGAGCTCCCGGCGTACTTTGCCAGCTGGCTGGCTGCACGCAGCTTCCCTCGCCGCCTTTCGTTCATCGGCTTCTCCCTGCTGGGTGCGCTGGCGCTGCTCTTCATCCAGGGCACCATGAAAAGTGAGCGTGAGAAGCATTAGACTGCACTCTCTTGACTTTTACTTTTTTTTTGTATTTAGCGTGTGCTTCTTAACTTCAGCATCTCATCTCACTCAGACTCTGTTGACGCCACACAAGCTTCTTGAAAGTAATGAAAGAGTAAAGCATTAATCCAGTGCAGTGAAGAAGTTTTTACCTCCTTACAGAATTCTTCTGTTTCTGCTATTTTGTCTCACTTGAATGTTTCAGACCGTCCTCAAACATTGTATCAGACAAAATTGACTTTCGCAAGAACAAAGTGTAGTTTGTCTCGAATCGTTTATGAGACAAAGACGTCCAAACAAACCTGACTATGTGCAGAAAAGTAATTGTCTCCTGAACCTAATGATTGGTTGTGTCATTCTTGGCAGCAGCAACTGACAATGAGTTTGTTTTCTTTTGGTTTTTTTACATCACTGTGCAGGAATTTTGTCCCACTCTTCTTTAATTCAACCACATTGATTAGACCACAGCAAAACCTTCATGTTGCTGTCTTGTGTCATTCATAACAGAGCTCTTGCTAGTTGATTTTCCTGCTTGCATAACAAAAGTCAAAGATAAACTGACGTGTGATAGCAAGACATTCTCCTACAGCATGTTCTGACAAGAATTCATGGCTCCTTCAGTTGCAACAAAGTGTCCAGGTCCCATCACCATCACACCAAAAACATTGTGCTCGTCCGAAAGCATGATATTCAGTTTTGTGCCAGTTGTAGTAAAATGCAAAAAAAAAAAAAAAAGAGATCCAATTTCATCTGACAGGTAAACTGAGCATTTCTTGACAGTCTTGGGGATAATCAAAAAGTTTTTTTTTTTTTAATATAAGACAAGCTCCCGAAATCTGAAATTTGAAAGAACGTCACTGCACCATAAAACAGCCCAGACCTGCAAGATATCAGGCAGAGAGCATGGAGAACAAGTGAATAGTCCAAGAAGTCAATGAGCATTAAGAGCTTCAGAAAGGCCTGGAATCAGCAGGTACAACTGCTTTGAAGAAAACAATACATAAAACATTCATCCACTATGGCCTTTATGCCTACTCACTGCCCAAGACTCCACTGCTGAAGAAAAGCTTGTTGAAACGAGTTTAAACTTTGCCTAGCAGCATTTACAAAAGTATTTTTACAACTTGTGGCCTCACAGCTCCTCATCCTTTGTTGCAGGTTACCCAACGCTTACCATGTCCCTAGTACTGTTGGGTAAATTTGGTATTCTGGCAGGAAATGGGGTGATGTACATCTACACCGGAGAGCTGTCTCCCACAGTCATCAGAAATACGGCGATGTCTTCCTGTGCCATGTTCTCCAGAGTGGGATCCTCTGTGTCACCATATTTGCTTGAGATGGGTGAGACCTTTAAATCTCTACTGGCTGTAAAGAATCCAAAGATATCAATTATAAACTGAGTCTAATGTTTAACTCTATTCAGATGATGTTTGATTTGACTTTTGTCTCCAGCTGAGTTTAACAAGCTTCTACCCTGGATTACTTTGGGCGCTCTGTCACTTCTCGGCGTTCTTCTCTGCATCTTCCTGCCAGAAACGTTCCGACAGCCACTTCCTGACACCATTGAGCAGATGCCGGTCATGCAGTGGTGAGTTTGTGTAAAGCTTGAGGACATTTTGGGGGGATTCTCTATGACAGGCTAATACCAAGTTGGGTACAATTGTGAGATGGAAAAACATAAATAGTTTTCAAAAACGTTGCATAAAAAAATGACGTTACCTGGGGAAGAAGGATCGCTGCATTAAGTGAGCAGAAAACGAATCAATTAAAGCAGATACTGAAGCATTTCTGCTTATCTGACTTACAGGTTTGCATGTCCCTGGGCCTGCAAAACAGCTCTGAAAGAAGAAGAAAAAATTGCTAAGAAGCAGACTCCATCAATTGAGATCATCTACACGACTTGTTTATAAAGCAGCCACTACCAGAACCAAGCTGTATAGTTCTTTTTATTTCAGAAATACTCTGAAGGAGTTTAAAGTCATGCATCAACAAGTCTTCCATGCAGCGAGAAAGAGAATGTTGTGGGACTCAGAAACAACCTAAACTCAAATTGACCTAAGAGTGAGAGACATGAAAGCACACCGCAGCCTGCTGCAGCAAATAACTTTTGCGCTTTGTTTCACCGAAGGACTGAAATGCTGGAACTGAGATGAGGAACGCAATATACGGTACATAGAACTGAAAACGAAAGAACACTATGAAGACATCCTATGATGGTTTTCTGACATCAGTAATTTCTGAATATTCAGTTAGTTAAATTATTAAATTGTTTTGGAAATTATTGGTGTGTCGGCAGCATTTTTGTCTTTTTTTGCACTTCACATGAACAACAGGTGTACATTGAGAAATCGGGGTTTTAATTGAGCAGCGAAGACAAATATTCAGATGTGAATATGTCAGGTTTAATATTCACAAACCTGACATGTCCACAAATCAAGAATATGGTATTTTCGCTGTTCAGTAAACTTGGATCATATGTTTTTGCATGTTAGCATCATCCTAATTAAGACAAAACATTTGAAACATATAGCTTTGTGTCTTTGTTCATCCATATCAACTTGTCTGTTGATGGTGATTTCCAGCAGTCACAGAAACACACAGGTCAAAGAGCGATGGACAGACAAAAACATGACCCTGACCTTCACCTTTCTGGGCTTTGGGAGGAAGGCCCAGGGAGAACATGCAAGCTCCATGCAGACGAGCTCAGGAAAATCAGAACTGTTCCTGTCGTGCATGCAGTGCTCACTGTGCTGGAACTGAGATGAATTTAGCTTTAAATAAAGAAATGAGTTCTGACGGTGAGTTTCCTGCAGGGAGGAGAGGTTAACGTGTGAGACTCGTCGCCAGGTTTTAGTATCACAAGAGTCAGCAGATGAATGAAGCAACAGCGCCTCCTTGAGTCGTGTTGCTGCAAACGCAGCGGGTCCAGAATTCACCGGAAGTTGGAATTGTTGATTTGACTTTACTGAGCCTGCGCAGTGCGACGAGCTCCGCCGCCTGGTTGGTGCGTGGCTCTGCTGTTGTTGAAGGAGAGGAGGGAGCAAACTAAGGGCTTTAGTACATTTTCTATATAAAACGCGAGTCGTTTCCTCCGGTTGGTGAGACTCTGGAAGAAGAAGAGGAGGAAGAGGAGGAGAGCGACAGGAGCGAAGGGCAAAGAGAAGAGCAGGAAAAGGGAGGAAGACGACTGGGAGGAGAAAATCTGGGACAGTGGAAAATGCTGCGGATTTGACGAAAAAAAGGTAAGAAAAAGCCGCCGGATCGATACTCATTGTTGAAGTTGTCGGTGGTGGGCGCCGCGATGATGGAGGTCTCCACCCGCAGCCGCCGCAGCGTGTGGCTGCAGAATGTAGGTCATTGTGTCGCTGGGTCGGGCCGGAACGAGCCGAACCGAGCCGTGTTGGGCCGAGCCGTGCTGCAGGAAGACTGCAGGAACGGAGACCAAGGTGAAGCCCTGCTGCAGCGGGAGAGCCCGAGTGCTGCAGCAGGAGAGCTTGTTTGCTGCAGCAGGAGAGCACCAAAATTCTCCATAATAGTCTTAAAAAAACAGAAGGGGTGGTGGTGGTGGAATGAAGGTATGGGGCCACATTGGGGCCAATATTAGCAAGATTCAAACAGTTAAAGAAACTAGTAAAAATTTTCTGTCACTTATAAAGATAATAAAAATATCTTTATAAGATGTTTTTATCTTATAAACAAAAATAAAAAATAAAAAATAGCACGACCTACATGTGAGGCTCACAAAATCAAACTGAACTGTGAAAGTGGCATCTTCATGGTTCGACTTTGATTTCTTTTCTCTGGATTGAACCAGCTCAATCTTCACCCGGTTGCTCATTCAAATCCATATAACATCTCAAAACTTCTCTTTCTGACAGCTAAAACTTTTGATTCACAAGCTTCCATGATGGATTCATTCACCGAGTCATAGGTTCCTCCTTCAGGATTTCCCTAAATGCAAAGTTTCCTAAAAAGCGCATTGAAGAAAGAACAGCTATTACCTGTTTGTTTGTGTGCATTTGGGTCTGTGACGTCACAAGATGCACACAAACCAAGCAGAAAAGCTGGCACCAGTAAACGCGTTTTGAAGGATTCATTTGAATGAAAACATGCGAACAAAGAGAGAGAGAAATGGAGGCACCTTGTACCTCATGTGACGTCAACAAATGCATGTCCTTGATTTTTATCTTGGTTAAAGAACAGCATGAAACAGAATACGAAAACAAATGGCGTGACTGTCCTTAACATGTTTTCCTGAAGCCAATGAGCCATATCTGAAGTGGGTTTGGGAAATGTGTCATTGCTAGTTTTATGCCGAGTCATCATTCGTTTGGCAGCGAGGGCACTAAGTGGTCAAAGACGTACAAAAAACACTTCACTGTAATGACTAAACCAGAGAACTTTAGACTAAATCAATATTTTGATCGTGAATTTTTCCATATGGAAAAATAACATAATATAATAATAGCATGTAATAGCATGTTTTTATTGTTCTTTAGTTTTGATACATAGAGATAGTCTGTTATCCTCTTTACAGAGTCCCTCGCATATAACGGGCTGATATTGTCTGCTGAGTTAGTTGGGCTATCAGCTCTGGTTTCCAAGCTGCAGTTTATTGCTTCACAGATATGCTAATTGTAGTTTTAAAGCAGGATTATCCTTATAAGAGTGATGGGCTGCAATCCTTTTTACTTTCCACAGCATGACTGGTATGATAAGTGAATTTGGAAAGACACTAATTCAAGTGTCAAGTATGATCTTATATAGTAGAATTAAGAGCCAGCAGCTTACAATTATAAAGAAAAAAAATCACAATCTATGGGTTTTGAAGAGATCACGTCTCCAGGCCACTTGCTGAGACATGATGTTTGATAGTTCACCATCACTCTGCCACAATGACTGCCTTCAAAGACGATGACAGTAGGCAGGAGAAATAATTGACAGTTGAAAAGTGCTGGGTGAGCTGTCAAGCAGCACAGATGTTTCACCAGCCACTAAACCAACAGAAACACAAACCTGCTGATTTACGGTCAGACTGCTAAGTGCGACCCGTAAAAAAAAAAAAAAAAAACCCTGATTAAATAGGCAGTAAATCACAGACGAGCTGGAGCCAGCAACTGGAATCTGCCGGGAGGATCGCCAGCTGGGAGAAGAAAATCTATTTGGGAAAAGTAACAGAGCTGTCCCTGCCTTATTTGTTCAGCATTTCAGCTCCTCTGATGTGTGCCAAATACTCTTTGAAGACACTCAAATGTCATCTTTTCATGGTTTGCCACTTATGAACTCGGTTCTGTTCTTCGGTTCTGAGCCTCACAGGAGAAAAGGTGACACTTTGTTTCCCCCCTCAGGTCTTTGAACATCTGTGACGTCTCTGTGTTTTGAGCGCTTTTCTTTACAGGTGGTTTCAGGTGATGAGCCGAGACACTCATCCTCTGTCTCACTCCGGGAGTTTATCTTCTGAGGTCCTTGCCACAGATATTACACTCAAAACATTTGACAACTGACTCACTGAGTTTGACAGTCAACAAAAGCCCGCAGAGCATAAATATTTATAGAAAATGATGAGATTTTACACAAAATCCCAGATGTTTTCTGCCTTCTGTAGTTTTGTAAACTAAAAATTCATCCCAAGTGAGTTTAGGATGCTAGACGAACTGCGGTTCCATTTGTTTCCCTCAATTATTTAGAGATTTAAAGTTTTAAAAGTTGCTTCAAACTAACAGTTTGCTTTAAAAGATGGTCACTGAATATTTTAGCTCATCACAGTGTTCGTGATGTGTTCAATGACCAACCAAATCAATCTTAATTTTTCATTGTTATTAAAGACCTGAAGAGTCGTTTAATGTGCTGCAGCATCCTTCATACTGGTAGCATTCTGAGTTCGGGGTGCACCGATTGCAGTTTTCTGGCCGATACCAATTTTTTTGTCTGAAATGCCGCTCAATATAGCAAGAAAGTTATTGAGTTGGCAACAGTGGGGTCACTAAATGCTAATTCTAAACACGCAGACATAACTTGGAGGGCCAGTCTGTCAGTCAAACCTTTCTCACAGGGGAGCAAAAGAGGACAGTGGTTGATTCTTAGACCTTTTCCAAACTGTATGAAATCGGCTGATAAGATCGGCTTCATATGTAAAAATCGGTCGATAACCGATCTCCCAAAATTAAGGAAATCTGCACCGATAAATTGGTGCACCCCTATTCTGAATACAACAATTAATTAAAGAATAAGAAGACTATTTCTATTTGTTCATTAATATAATTTTTATTTAAGTTGACTGTAAAAACGTGCAAGCTGCAGCACGTTGACTGTTGACTGATGCAGTGAGAGTCCTTAGATTAAACTCATGCTTCGAACTGGAATGCATTGGCCGACTGATTTGTGTATGAAAATTTACATACTCAGATCTCTGAAGTGGAGGAAGGTTGTGTTTTTCCACCATTATATGAATAGAGTGAGGCTTTCTTTTTCTTTTTTAGTTCAATGTGACTTCAGCTACTCGAACGTGTCCTCAATCCCAGAAGCATGTTGTTGTCTTATTCCCTCTAACAATGCCTGCTGCATGTTGGCAATCTCCACACCAAGACTTTTGTCAATTGGCGTTTTGGTTGAAGTCTCTTGTGTGTCTCCAGATGTCTGGCGTCACCATGGAAGCGGGCTCCATCCTCCCCATCCTAAAAAAGAAGCTAGCCTTCCTCTCAGGTAATGAACTGTTGTTGTGTTGCTATAATCCCTAATCTTTGTTTTCAATGACCTAACCTCTCTGGCTGTCTGTGATAGGAGGCAAGGACCGGCGCAGTGGTCTGATCCTGACCATCCCCCTCAACTCGGACCAGACCAGCATGGAGGAACTCGGCGCCACTCTGGACTACTTGCTCAGCATCCCCAGGTAACAGGCATGCTAGCCAAGGTGGCCTAAAGTGCTTCTGTGAATTCTTGCTAAAGCTAACCTCCTGTTTCCCACTTCAAGTGACAAGTGCAAGGCTCGGGGTTTCACTGTGATCGTGGACGGCCGGCGGTCTCAGTGGAACATCGTGAAGACGGTGGTCCTCATGCTGCAGGTAGAAATACGTTAAGCCTTCGTCCAGGCTCTGACGTGTGGCAGATGTTATGTGGGTTTTTAATGATTGGTGGTATGTGGGTGGGGTTTCAGAACGTCATCCCAGCGGAGGTGTCACTGGTCTGTGTGGTGAAGCCTGATGAATTCTGGGATAAGAAGGTCACCCACTTCTGTTTCTGGAAGGAGAAAGATCGCCTGGGCTTTGAGGTAGGAGTCTCTCC